ATGGGCCGCCCCCCTGTCAGCAAGCTCCACTCACTCTGAGCACCCCCTCCTGGGGAAGAAAGCGAGATGGGGTGAAGATTCTCCCCGAGGCTGTTAAGCCTTAGATCACACATGCTCTGATCAGCAGAGGTTCTCTACCTCAGCTTAAAATAATTTGAATTAGCAAAAACCGCTTCAAGGTAAACCATTAAATTGAAATGGTTGATGGATGCCACAGGAATGCTTAAATGGCAGCTTAAAAAAAAAGAGAAAAAAAACTGAAACAATCCACAGAGAACTCCTAAGTAGGCGTTTGCTACAAACTTCAAATTTACAAATACATTAGGGGTGTTAGGTAGTCAGAATAGGAAAAAGGAGTCAGAATGGCGGTGGCTAAAAAGACAACGGAGGGAAAAGCTCGCTAAAATAGAAGAAAGCAAGGTTGGAAGATCAGAGAGAAAACCTCAGCTAAAACAAACAGCCTTCCAGGCTAGACCAATTTACATAGGGCAGGCTCAGGGGCAGGAGAAAAAAATATATAAAAAGGGAAGCCAAAATTGGGCCAGGGGGCCTCTCTTTTCTTCGGGTCTTTTGGGTTGGCATGCCCTCATGACTGAAGGATGTATTTTCCTTTACTTTCTAAATAAAACTGAGTTGTAACATCAAACTGAATTGTAACATGGAGCTGTAACACTGGGCCCTCTGCTGCCTCAAATTTTTGTTGTGACAAGACAGACCCCAGGAAATAAACTCCCCAGACAGGGGCAAGAGAGTGGGAGGGGTTTATGGAGACAGGAAACTGCACAACAGCTTAGAGGGGCAGAACTCTGTATATGCAAGGAATATTTGAGACGAGTTTCTTCATCTGAAAGGATGTGGAAGATCCCTTGGCCTCGGAGTGGTACACGCAGTCCATGGCTTAAACTGAGTATGAGAGTAATTTAAATATTCCGAAGAAGAGCTGAAGAAATCCATTTCATACTTCTGCATGACTTAAAGTTTACAGTTCCTGCAGTTTCCATCCCAAATTAGCAGACCCCAAAGACATGCATTCTGCGGAGAAGGCATGACCTGAAATGCTATTAAGGAAAATTGCTGTTTTTGAATGGGCCAGGTGGCCAGACCCCATTCTACAGCCCATCATCCCTCAGACACAGCAAGTCAATCCAGGAGGGAGGGCTGGAAGGAGGCAGAGGACAGGTGAGAGACACCTGACTGCACATTTTCTCACTTGTTGACTCATCCAGGAGATTTTGGAGCCTGGGGCAAGGCAGGGCTTTCCCAAGGGAGCCTGTAACTGTAAGGTGATAAGGCAGTTTTGTTTGTTGTTGTTGTTGTTGTTTTTTAATTCATTAAAACGTCAGCTTTGTTCTGAAGTCTGTAGTTACTTCAAGATACTATCTTGGAGGAAGAAAGGAGGGACATTGCTGCATGACACATGTTCTGGTTTCATAATAAAAAAGCATTAGTTTATAAAGGGAGTTCAGACAAAGGATAATCAACTACACATAAAGTCTTCCACCAGCAGAAGCTTTTCAAATAGTAAGCATCAAAGAGACCAACCGTTGGTGCCTTCTTCCTCCCTGAGGATAAGGAGACAGTCTTCTTGGAGCAAGGGAGGAAGTAAGTTCACAAATGGTCCTTCTAGGTTGGAAGGAATTTGGTCCTCAGTCTGCTGTAAAAGTTTGGCCGGGGAGGCCAGAGGAGAAAGGTTTGTCATAGATATCAAGCAATCACTATGTCCTGAGTTGGTTGAAGCCAAGTCTTTGGAAGTGGGCTTAGGGATATTCCCTTTGTGGTCCTGGTTGTTTGCTTTCATTGGACTGCATGTTTCAGTCTCTTCTGGACACAAATAAACCTCAGTGCATCCTTGGGTACCTGCCAAATGTATTTATAGGCTCTCTATTGGGTCAGGCACTTCAAGTCATGTTTCCGGAGGGGCTTTCACAACTATTAACAGTTTGGTCTTCAAGGCCACTAATTTTTCGAATATCTTGATATGTAACATAAGCTAACCTTTGATTCTCTGAATCCTCGTTTAACAGTTTGAGGTCCAGGGAGCAGCTTGGATCAATCAGTTCATCTAATTTCCTCTCTTCCTGACTAGCTTGGTCACTTTTGACAGGCCTTGACACTGGGCCAGTATGCCCATGTGCTCAGATAGACGCAGCCCATCCACTGCATGTTGTTTTTAGACTTCTTAATGAGGTGGATGCCTTCCAGGACGTTGGTGATGTCATAAATCCTTCTCTTTCGCACCTTCAGCACCTCTGCTGCCCTGTTCAAATCTGAGACCCCATCAGGTGATCGGCTCAGTAGTTGAATGAACTCCTTGGTGAGCAGACCAAGGGATGTATCATACCGTGTTTTTTCTGAGGGAGATTTTGGAGTTTGGGGGCTACCTGGACTTCGGGGTGCAGCTCTTCCTTGGCCCTTGGGGGTTTTTTTAACCATGTGAGAGTACTGCTGACCGCTTTCTTCTAGCTCCAGCCTGCGCCGTGCCCGCTGCTGTAAGGGCGTTTCCGAAACCAGCCTGGCTCCGGTGGGGAGGTGGGAGGTGCCGGCTGGAGAGGTGGCCTGGAGGGCCGAGCGGACCTGCGGCGCCGGGCGAGGACCGGAGCCCGCGGAGCGGGGCGGGGGTGCTGGGGAGAGGAGAGGGAGGGTGGCAGCGCCGGGGGCGGTTGCGAGGACGCCGGGACGGTCTCAGGCCAGGGAGCCGGCGAGCAGGATGAAGTGGGCGCCCCCTCTCCCCCTCCAGCGCCTCCTCCCGCCGCCCCCGCCGCCGCCTCCTCCCCAGTCACAAGCGCGTCGTCCACGCACTTGTAAGAAACGTCACCGGCGGGTCCGGGGGAGAGGGACAGACCCCGGAGGCGGCACGGGAACACGGCTGCTCCGCCCTCCGTTGCGGTGGGGAGTGGCGGGGGAGACAGGGCGGGGGAAGGAAGGGGCAAGGGGAGAGGCGGGTCAGGGGCAGGCCCCGGCAGGCGAGGAAGGCTCAGGCGCTCAGGCCACCCGGGCACCGCCGCTGCCACCGCCGGGATGCGCCCAGGCCGGCCGCCAGCCCAGGAGCCCCTCACCCCCAGACAGCCCACAACCGGCCCGCTGAAAATGCCTCTTGAGAGTCTCTTGGACAGGAAAGAGATCAAACCAGTCAATCCTAAAGGAAATCAACCCTGAATATTCAGTGGAAGGACTGATGCTGAAGCTAAAGCTCCAATACTTTGGCCACCTGATGCAAAGACTGGACTCATTGGAAAAGATCCTGGTGCTGGGAAAGAGTGAGGGCAAGAGGAGAAGGGGGTGATAAAGGATGAGATGGTTGGATGGCATCACTGACTCAATGAACATGAGTGTGAGCAAACTCTGGGAGATAGTGAAGGACAGGGAAGCCTGGCTGTGCTGCAGCCCATGGGTTCGCAAAGAGTTGGACACGATTTAGTAACTGAACAACAGTATGTAAAATAGATAGCCAGTGGGAATTTGCTGTGTGATTGTGTGAGCAAACTCTGGGAGATAGTGAAGGACAGGGAAGCCTGGCTATGCTGCAGCCCATGGGTTCGCAAAGAGTTGGACACGATTTAGTAACTGAACAACAGTATGTAAAATAGATAGCCAGTGGGAATTTGCTGTGTGATACAGGGAGCTCAATCCAGTGTCCTGTGACAACCTAGAGGGGTGAGATGGGGGTGAGAGATGGGAGGAAGGTTCAAGAGGGAGGGCACATATGTATACCTGTGGCTGATTCATGTTGATGTGTGGCAGAAACCAGCACAATATTGTAAAGCAATTATCCTCCAATTAAAGTTTCAAAAAAAACAACAAAAGGCCAGAATAGAGCAAGAGAGGCAATGAGGAAGTAGAGCAAAAAGGGCCATCAGTCTTGCAAAACATCTCAGGGAATGGCTAGCCTTTGGAAGAGATGTATCAATCTCTTCTTTTCACAAGGGGCAGAGTCAGATTATCTCCCTGTGATCTGAACAAACGCCCTTTGGCAGGGTCCTCTGAGGCAGGTCATTGAAAGTGAAAGTTTTAGTCACTCACTGTCCAGCTCTTTGTCACCCCATGGACTGCAGCCAACCAGGCTCCTCTGTCCATGGAATTCTCCAAGCAAGAATACTGGAGTAGGTTGCCATTTCCTTCCCCAGGGGATCTTCCCTACCCAAGGATCAAACCTGGGTCTCTGACATTGCAGGCAGACTATTTACCAAGTGAGCCATCAGGGAAGCGTATGTATCAGTTTGAAGAAAGAGCAAGTACAGATATGAGGATGGCTCAGGCCAGACCTGTCAGGAACAAGGTTTTTGAGTCCACCAGGCGTCAAGGGCTTGTCATTATGTATGACCATAATAACACAAGCAATGAAAAGCAAGTCAAAGAAACAGTTTTAACATGGAGTCAGAATTGGTTTCTCCTGCAACATTGGCACCAGCAAAGGTTGAGTGATTCAGACCTCCTAACAGAGAGCCAAGTGCTCTAGGATTCTTCAGCTTAAGTACCTAATGAGTGGGGGTAGTGCAGGGATGGATAGAAGGCTCAGAGCAGTCAAGGACCAAAGATGAAAATGCACCAGGCCCCTTTACCGCAGAGAGGAGTTCACATTTAAGTGTCTGCTTTTCTTAAAAGGAAGCACATTCCATGCCTGGCCACACAGCCTTACACCAAGCCCTTGACCCCTGGTGGAGTCAAAAACCTTGTTCCTGGCAGGTCTGGCCTGGGCCATCCTCTTGTTTGTACTTGCTCCTTCTTGAAACTGAATCAGGAATCCCAGTGCAGGAGGAGCTGCAGAAGACACTAAAAGCAGTCTTAGCCAGGAAAAAGTCTTCTATCATGGGGTCGCAAAGAGTCGGACACGACTGAGTGAATAACCACAACAACAGCGCGGCGAAAGTGACTGGCTCGGGGGTCTTGTCCCACCTCACCTCCCGCAAGCTGTCACTTAGGCACAAGGGGCGGGGCTTTGGGATCCGTCCAACCAGGAGGACGCTGAGGCAGATGGGCGGGGCGATGTGCCGCTACGTGGACTTCCTTTCTTTTTCGCATTGCGTTGGTTTCGTGTTCTGTCTGGTTCACTGGCCTGGACGTTCTCCTGCATCTTCTGTCGCTCTGGTGGTCGTCTCTGGGAGGGACTTAAACAGCCCCAGGAGACCTGGAAATGGTGAGTGTGCTGACCAGGGCATCGGACGCCGCGGTGGACTAGTGGGGATCGGCGGAAACCCGCCATTTTGACCTGGCCCCTCGTGTTCACCCCCGGAGTGCGCAGATACGCGTTGTCTGGGGCTCCGCTCGGATCTTAGTCCCCTCGGGTTCTCAGCGGGGTTGTTGGCCGGCAGCCGGGTCCCAGGGCGTCCAATCTTGTCACTTCCGGAAAGAACTTCCGTCGCGAAGTCTGCCCGCTGGCTCTGCGCCTGCAGCCCCTCTTCTCCCCTAGATTGTGCGCTGACCACGTGCACGGTCTTCAGGGGACAATCGGGACTTGTCCAGGGTTCTGTCGTGGGATTAACTGTTGTCTGAGGGTTCCCAGACCATCTGTTCTGCAGGAAGGAGAGGGGGAGCGCCGGGCTTCCTCTGAGTTTTCTGAATATTTGGGAAGTGGACTCTTAAAACTGAACACCTTAGCCCTCAAGAGCAGCTATGTAGGACTGGCAGTGAATCATTAAATTTCCAGATTGCTCCCTTTATTCTCAAAGTCGATTTCGCCTCTCCGATTCAAATTACTTATCAGCTGTTTGTCTCTGCGGTGCATTTAAACACAAGCAATGTTCTAACTGTTCATCCTGTTTGCACAGTCTTGGCGCGGAGTCGTGGATGGCATATTTGCAAGGGGCGGGGCGGCGGGGGGCGGTCTGTGAATATTTTACCTGAGCGCCAAGCCGCGAAAATAACCACTGGGAAGTAGGTTGTATGAAATCCTTTCCGTTCCCGATTTTTTTTTTTTTTTTTTTTTTAACTGAGAACAGATATCCTAGAAGAAGTTCTTTCGTGGAGGATTTTTTTTTAATTAATCTATATATTACTTTTGGCTGTGCTGGGCCTTTGCCTCTGCGCGGACCCTTCTCCAGTCGCGGAAAGCGGGGGCCTTCCTTGGCTGAATTGCTCGAGCTTCTCACTGCAGTGGTCTCCCCTGCCGCCTCGGAGCAGGGGTCCCAGGGCAGGTGAGCTCAGTAGTTGCCTCCGGTCTCTAGAGCACTGTCTTAGTAGCTCCCTCGCATGTGGAATCGTCCCAGAATAGGAATGGAACCCATGTCTCCTGTCTTTACCACTGAGCCACCGGGGAGCCCACCTAGAGGATTTTTTGAAAACTTTTCTGGATCTGCCCTGCCAGTCACTATGTTACTCCCCTTCAAAAGATTTACTCCTTAAGTTTTTTTTTTTTCAGTAGTGTGAAATGTATTTAATTAATAGAACCTGGTAAGTGCTAAGAGAGGTTAATTTCAGGGGGGAATAAATTCTAGTATTACATTCCATTTGTGAAGAATTTTTGTTTGACTATTTTTTATTCCCTGAATGAGTATGGTGATTTATTTTGGACTGTACTATTGGTTGATTTCAAATGGCATTATAGGATTTAGACTTGCAGACTAAAAGTATTCAAGTATGATTAATTATGTAGAAAATAAACTTGCCCTGGAAATATTAATTGATATATATTTTCTGAAAGGAATAGATACTTGGGGTTTTCTGGGTAGAGTAGTAAAAGTTACTTGTAATTTTCTTCTCTCATTTCCATATAAACATTGGATTTGAGTGATTTTCCTGAATTAGGCAGACAGGGTTTGTGTACTTAAAATTTCAGTGGTGGTAGAGAGCCCTTTAAATGGAGAGCAGAGCCTGAGGTCAGTGTTGTCAGACTACGGCCCCCTTGGAGCCTTCAAGGGGAAGTACTTGAAGGCACTCATATACTTGGAATCATACAGTTTATAGCTTTGTCATATTGACTTCTTTGAGTTAGCTGTATATACTTTTGAGCTTTCTTGGTGTGTTTTCATAGCTTGATTTCTTCCCTGGTGGCTCAGTGGTAAAGAATCCACCTGCCAAAGACTGAAGGCGGGAGGAGAAGGGGACGACTGAGGAGGAGATGGTGAAGGACAGGGAAGTCTGGTGTGCTGCAGTCCATGGGGTCACAAAGGGTCCGACACGACTGAGCAATCGAAAACAATTTCATCATGTGGATATACCGCTGATTATTTGACTCTTGCAAGATATCTTGCTTACCTCAATTCATGACAATTGTGAATAAAGCCCTTCAGGTATTTATGTGCAGGTTCTGTGTGACTATGATTCGACCTTATTTGGACAAATAACAGTGTGATTGTGGGCCTTAATATACATCAGTTCAGTTCAGTCGCTCAGTCGTGTCCGACTCTGCTACCCCATGAATCGCAGCACCCCAGGCCTCCCTGACCATCACCAGCTCCCGGAGTTTACTCAAACTCATGTCCATCATGTCGGTGATGCCATCCAGCCATCTCATCCTCTGTCGTCCTCTTCTCCTCCTGCTCCCAATCTCTCCCAGCATCAGGGTCTTCTCCAGTGAGTCAACTAATTCCATGGACAGAGGAGCCTGGAGGGCTACAGTCCGTGGGGTCCCAAAGAGTTGGACTCACTTGAGTGACTGCACTTTCACTTTCATAATTGCTTTTCAATGTTACAGTTCTGCTGTTCAACAACATGAATCAGCTATATGTGCACATATATCACCTCCATAGAAGAGACTTATTTTTTTTATTTTAATGGTGTGAAATTATACTTTTTTTCTTTTACACACCTTGTGTTTGTTGTTGTTATATTTGAAAATTGTGTTGTTATATTTGAAAATTCATCACCAAACCCAAGGTGACCTAGATTTCATCCTATGATATGTTCCAGAAGTTTGTTACTTTTGCATCTTAAAAAACGTTTTCTCATTTCTTTACGTATTATTTGGCTGTGCCACGTCTTAGTTTTGACATGTGGAATCCTGTTCCCTGACCAGGAATTGAATTTGAGCCCTCTGCATTTGGGAACATGAAGTCTTAGCCACTGGACCACGAGGGAAGTGCCACTTATGCATTTTACATTTAGATCCATGATATGTTTTCAGGGTCTTTTGGTGAGATGTATTAAGTCCTGTGTCTACATTTGTTTTGTTTGTGTGTGTGTTTTTATGAATATCCATTATTTCCATCCATATTTGTTTAAAAGATTTTGTTTGAATTGCCTTTCCTTCCTTGTCCGAGTTCACTGTGGATCTATAGGAAAACAATTGATTTTCTTTCAGTCTTGGGAACTCCAATTATCTATTATTGGAGAAACTTTCAGTTGTTTCACAGAGATAATTGTCCTAGAACTGTAGAAAGCAAATGTTAGTCACTCAGTCGTGTCCAGCTGTTTGTGACTGTAGCCCTCCGGGTTCCTCTGTCCATGGGATTCCCCGGGTAAGAATATTGGAGAGGGTTACCATTTCCTTTTTCAGGGGAATCTTCCTGACCCTGGGATTGAACCCACATCTCCTGCATTGGCTGGCTGATTTTTTTACCATCTGAGCTGCCTGGGAAGCCCAATTATGTCTTAGAGAATAAATATTTGCTTTTACCTACAGGATTCATGAATATCTTCTTTCAACAGGAGTTTGAAAGAACTCCCTCTGTTACTTATTTGTGATTATAAGTGAGTGCTGGATTTTACAAAATCCTTTTAAATTTTCATTTCCCTCTCTGTTCCTTTCTGATACTGATAATTTATATCTACCCTTGTAGTCCTATTGATTAGATGTTTATCAGTGTTATTAATCTTGTCAAAGATCTGGCTTAAATTTTTTTCTTCTTCAATTATATTCATTTCCTTTCTGATTCTTATAATTTATTCTGCTTTCTTTGTGATTTTATGCTCTTCTCTTTGTTGTTCCCTAAGATAAATGCTTGCATTATTGTTTACAGATCTTTGTTTCTTCTGAATGTATTTGATGATGGCATAATTTTCTCTGTAGATACTGCTTTTGCAGCATCCCACAGTTTAGCTCAACGTAAATTTTAATTTCTCTTGAGACTTCTTTCATCCCATTTATTGTTTAGAGATATGTTGTTGAATCTCTGTGTGTTAGGGGAGTTTCCGACTCTTGCTTGTATTGATTGCTAGAGGAATGCCTTTGAGTTCTAAGAACATAGTTTATATGATTTTTGTTCTTTCAGATTTGTTAAGGTAATTTTTCTCTTTTAATATTAGTTATTTATTTTTGGCTGTGCTGGGTCTTCCTTGCAGCATGGACTTTCTCTACTTGCGGTGAGCAGCTACTCTCCAGTTGTGGTGTGCAGGCTTCTCATTGTGGTGTCTTCTCTTGCGGAGCTCAGGCTGTAGGTGTGGGTGAGTTTTAGTAGTTATAGTGGTGCACAGGCTGAGTTGCCCCATCATCATGTGGGATCTTCCTGCACCAGGGATCAGACCTGCGTCCTCTTCATTGACAGGTGGTTTCTCAACCACTAGACCATCAGGGAAGCCCCTTAAGTTAGTTTTATGTTTCAGAAAGTGTTCTGTCTTGTTGAATGTTCCATGTGTATTTGAAAAGAATGTCAATTTTGCTTTCGTTGCATTGATCATTTCTTAGATTCCCATTGAATTGAGTTGTTTCATGGTGCTGTTCAGTTCTTTTTTTTTTTTTAGTTTTTTATTTTGTACTGGGATATAGCCAATTAACAATGTTGTGATAGTTCCAGGTGAACAAGGAAGGGGCTGAGTCATACATATACATGTACCTATTCTCTTCTAAACTCCCCTCCCATCCAGGCTGCTACATAACCTTGAGCAGAGTTTTATGTGCTGTACAGTAGGTCTTTGTTGGTTGTCCATTTTAAATATAGCAGTGTGTACATGTTCCTCTCTTAACTCTCTGTCTTCTCCTCCCACCCTCAACCATAAACTCATTCTGAGAGTCTATTTCTGTTCTGTAAGTAAGTTCATTTCTATCATCTCTTTTTAGATTATACATGTAAGGGATATCATAAGATATTTCTCCTCTGTCTGACTTCACTCAGTATGACACTCCATGTTGCTGCAGATGGCATTATTTCATTCTTTTTAATGGTTGAGTAATATTCCATTGTATGTATGTACCACATCTTCTTTATCCGTTCCTCTGTCGATGAACATTTAGGTTGCTTCCATGTCTTGGCTGTTGTTAAACAGTGCTGCAGTAAACATTGGGGCACATGTATCTTTTTCTGATCATGTTTTTCTCCAGTTATATATGCCCAGGAGTCCTCCTTGCGTTTTTCATCTCTTGCCTTATATAGTTGGCCACTTTGTTGCTATGTATGTACATGTGAAAGACACTTTTTTGGAGAATGGACCTTTTTATCGTTTTGTCAGGTTCCTTCTAACCTCTGTGTGTCTGTTGGTCTTTAAATACTTCAGTCCATTTGCTTCTTGCTTGTATTTTTTTGTTTTCCTGAAAAGAACTCCAAGTTGATTCTAGTCCTTGTTTCTCTATATCAAAAGTATATTTCTACCTTCTGACACTATAGTCTCTTTGCCTTTGTTTTTTGTTTTTTTTTTGTTTATTTGTTTTTCCCTCTATTTGATTATAATACACTTTCATCTCCATTTTAGGTGTTTTCATTTCTTGTTCAACTGAGATTCTTCATCATTAGTATTAGGAAAATCTTACCAGTTATTACTTATTTTTGTCTCTCTTCTTCAGTTATTTTCATCATATGTATCTAAGTCTTCTGTTAAAGAAGGTCATGTGAGGGTCATGGATATTGTGTTCTATATTTTTTTGTGTGTTTATGTGAGACTCTGGTGAAACAGAGTTTTTTGGTAACAGGCCCTAAGAACAGAATATTTGGGGCATTTTTTAAAAGTCTTTTCTTTTCTCTTTTCCATTTTCAGGACACCAGTTTGCCCTGTGAATCAGTGCTTTCATGACTCTGGGAGGACTTGTTTATTTCAAGTTTTTTATTCTCTTCTTGTGACATGGAGAATCATAACTTCTAAATTCACAAATCCCAGACTAGATTTTCATTCTGGCAGTGGCTGTAGTGGCTGCTTGGGAAACACTTGTTCCTGAAATTGCAGGTTGGAGACTTCATGTCCTTTTGAAGGAAGCCAATGATGAAAGTCTTATATCTTTTATAATTATGAGAAAATTCACCATCAGAGTATTATGGACATTGATGAACTCTCTTGTAAACTGTAGCTCGTAATCTTATTACTTAAGGGCAGTAAGGTTCAGGGTGTACTGTTAAAGAGTGTGATGAAAAAGAGGTTTTCCAGCACATAATTGCCCTGTATGTTCTAAAATTTGGCTGGAGGCAGCCCTGAGGCACCTGAGTATAGGAATTTTGTGGTCTAGATTTCTTATTTTATTAACTTACTGGATTTTCGCTCTGCGCACAGATTTTCTCTGTGGCTTCTTGCTGTAGTGTTTAGTTCTCTTGTTGCAGAGAGCACGGGACTCTAGAAAACAGGCTCAGTAGTTGTGGCCCACGGGCTTAGTTGCCCTGGGGCGTGTGAGATCTTCTCTGACCAGGGATTGAAATTTGTCTCCTGCCCTGGGGGCTTCCCTGGTAGCTGAGACACTAAAGAGTCTGCCTGCAGTGCAGGAGATGTGGGTTCAATCTCTGGGTCGGGAAGGAACCCTGGAGACGGAAGTGGCAACCCACTCCAGTATTCTTGCCTGGAGAATTCCATGGACAGAGGAGTGTGGTGGGCTACAGTCCAAGGGGTCGCAAAGAGTCAGACACGACTGAGCGAATAGCACTCCTGCGTTGGCAGGCGGATTCCTAAATACTGAACCACCAGTATTCATAAACCCTGTATTGGAATATCACTTTTTAAAAAAATATATAATTTAGAAACCAGGAATGTCCCTAATGTGTTACTGCTTCTTCTCCATAACTGAGGTCTAAGTTTGAAATCGCTTCCTACGTGCATCAAGTTTTTTTATAGAAAAAAAGGAAAAACAGACTCTGTGATAATTATTACACCACTTAAAGGCAGTGCTTCTGCAGAAGAGTATTTATATTCAGGCAACTGCATGTGATTTCTTCTAAATACTTGGAGGACCTTGGCACAGTATGGGCAGCTGGGCTTTGTTAAAAGTGTGAGTTCTGCAGGCTACCTGGGCATTGATGTTAGGTGATAGGACTAGAAAATACCATCCAATTTTTTGCTGCATTTTTATTCATTGAAACCTCATGCAGTCTGGATCCTCTGCCCCAAGGGGTACTGTAAATTGTAGACCATAAGGAAGAATATGAAAGAATTTTTTCACAAGAACTAAATGGTTCCTAAAATGGTATTTATTTCATCTGCATAGGATTTCTAATGTTTCCCTACATTCTCTGGTTCTGCCATGATCGTGATATGAGTGACACTATGACCACAGAAATGATGTGTAAATGGTTTCATTTCTTCATGATCCTGTCAAATTATTGAGGAGATGTAGAGAGTAAGTTTTTCATGATCAAGTCATAGAATAACTCTTGATAAACAAAATAGTACATCACCCTCCTATAAATGGAGTGTGGGTATCTAGTGCTGTCAGTCTCATGCATCTTACTGTGTACATATTTTGGGTGTTTTAGGACTCATTGGCCTTTGAGGATGTGGCTGTAAACTTCACCCTGGATGAGTGGGTTTTACTGGATTCCTCACAGAGGAAACTCTACAGAGATGTGATGCGGGAAAACTTCAGGAATGTAGTCTCAGTAGGTAAGAATGAAGAATTCCTTCCCTTTGTCAATTAGAGAGCAAGTGTTTCTTATCCATCTGTGCTGTTCAGAGATGTGGAATGTGGAAAGGGAGGACAGTGATAAAGAAAGTAGGAAAAAAAAAAAAGAGGAATTCCCTGGCAGTCCAGAGGTTAAGTATCAGCACTTTCACTGCCGTGGCCCTTGTTCAATCCCTGGTCAAGAAACTAAGATCCCACAAAATGTACAGGGAGGTGAAAAGAAAAAAAAGAAACTGGGCAGTGTCAAGTTCATTATGGACATAACATTCTGTAATGTCTAATACTTTGGGATCTTTTTTCTGGGTCTGCATTTCAGAAGCAAAACAGGAAGACCATGACATTGAAGATCAGGACAAAAACCAGGAGAGAAAATTACGGTGAGCCATTTGTATAGTACAAAGCATGTCTCATATGAGAATCTTATGAAAACCTTAAAGGAAGCAAACAAAATAAATAGCTCTATCTTCAAATTTAGTTGTTTTTAGAAAATGTCTCCCTCAAATTTTCTTAAATGTGATATAAATGTTCTGTGTTTGAAATATAGTTTGTGTGCAGTCAGTATTCATAAAGCCTATATTTGAATATCACTTTTTAGTAGAAAAGGGAAAGTCCTATTAACAGTGTTCAGTTTGTTTGACTTCTACCAAGTCACACAAGATAGAAAACCTCACTATTGCTATAAATCATAATAAAGACAGTAAATATAATGTAATTAAGGGGGAAAAAATCATTAATAGTATTCTCATGATTTACAGAAATCCCAAAGCAGAGAGACACTCTGAAAAGAGAGACATTAATTCCTCTGAAGAAAGCTTCAACCTTATTCCAACTCCCAATGTGAAGAGAACTCGTGATATAAAACCATGGGAATGCAGAGCGTGTGGGAAAGTCTTCATGTATCATTCATCCCTTACTAGACACATGAAATGTCACATTGAAAACAGATCAGGAGATCGCCGAAAGTACCGGGAGAAGGTATATAAATGTAAAGAATGTGGAATAGCATTCATTTTTCCTAGTGCTCTGAAAACCCATGAAAGGAGTCACACAGGAGAGAAACCCTATGAATGTAAGGAATGTGGCAAAGCCTTCACGTGGCACACAACTTTTCGAAAACACATGGGAACGCACACTGGAGACTTACCTTACAAGTGTCAGAAATGTGAGAAAGCATTCATTTATCCCAGTCACCTACGAATGCATGAAAGCACTCATAAAGGACATAAACCTTATAAATGTACAGAATGTGGGAAAACCTTTGAAAGTCCTGAAACTATTGAAATACATGAAAGGATTCACAGGGGAGAGAAACCTTATGAATGTAAGCAGTGTGGTAAAGCTTTCAAACGTTTGAGGTCCTTCCAGGCACACAAAAGACATCACACAGGAGAGACACCGTTTGTATGTAAAACATGCTCTAAAGTATTGAATACTGCCTGGTCGCTACGAAATCATGAAAGAATCCACACTGGAGAAAAACCATATAAGTGTAAGGAATGTGGGAAAGCCTTCTTATTAAATGTAACCCTTCAGAAACACATGATAACACACACTGGGGATGGACCTTATAAATGCAAAGAATGTGAGAGAGTATTCATTCATCCCAGTTCTTTTAAAGTACATGAAAGGAGTCACACTGGAGAGAAACCATATCAATGTGACCAGTGTGGTAAATGGTACCGGTATCCATCATTTTTAAAAATACATCGAAGGACCCATAGTTGACAGGGGGGACACTTTGAATGTATGGGAATAAAATGAGAATGAAATGTATGGGAATGGGAAATGAAAGGGAAATGTTCTGTTCCACTTACGTTGACATGCATGAAAGAATTCACACTGGACAGAAACCTGTCAATTTGATGGAAATGTCGGGAATCTTCCATTTGTGTCTCAGTCATTCAGAGACCCATGAGACTACACACTGGACAGAAATCATATAAAATGTGAAGAATGTGGAAAAGGCTTTTCCGATCTTAGTAGTTTCTGAAACCATAAAAGGATTTACTAGGTAAAACCTTGTTTGTAAACAGCCTCAGAAATACTTCAATTGGCTGACATCATTATATGGAAAAACTCCCATGGAGAAGATGTGTAAATGTAAATAACATGAGATAAATTGATGGAAAGTAATCCATGCTTAATGTTCCAGAAAACCTTCAGCATGAAAGAGTTGTTTTATTTTTATTTATTAGTATTTTCTTTTGACCTCAACTTGGGACATGTGGGATCTTAGTTCCCCAACCAGTGATGGAAGCCATGCCCCTGCAGTGGAGGCACGTTGTCTTAACCACTGGACCGCTGGGGAAGTCCCAAAGGAATTGTTTTAAAATTTTTTTTAATTTATAAATGCATTGTGTTTTCTAAAGATCTTCCTTCAAGTTTAACCTTAAATGGTGGATTTCTGCTCATTTCAGAAAGGAATGTTAATGTCACTTGTTTCTGTAAGTTATCTTTCAATCACAGTACATAAGGTTTAAAGGTAGTCATTTTTCCTTTACTCAGATAGTGATTTTTTTTCCTCTTTGGATGTAATAGAAAAGGATAACTTTTGTTTCTTTGCTAGGCAAAGGGGGCCACAGTGGGCTAATGCCCTCAAAACCATGTGTTCCCACTTGGGGAAGAGAGTGAGAAAGTTTTATAATAATAGTTCAGAGAGGTTCACTTCATGGACATTCTTCTGATAGGTGGGTGGTGAGGCAAGTTGGAATCAGCATCATCAACCTGAGGTCCAGCTGCTCTGGGGTCTACCTGTTTGTGGGCAGCATACCCTCCTTAATCATTAACTTCTCCCACCTGAGGGAGTTTCAGTTTCTGCAAAATAACTCAAAGATATTGTTGTGTGTGTTCATTGATGGGGAATCAGGACCTTGCCCCAAGGCTGCTCTTGACTCTTTGTCCCTGGTCTTGCACCCCCTCCCTTCCCTGATTAACAGCTGCTTGCCTCAGCCCACTGGAACTCAGGGAAGCTCATGGAAGCCGAGTGAAGGCTGTTTCCTGTAATCAAAGAGAAGGACACAGAAAGGCCGTGTCCCCAGGAGCCCCGCAGGGTCCGGCTCAGTATCAGTGTGGCAGTTCCTAGATGTATAACCTATTATATATATTGTACCCTGTTTTATGGGCTTCCTTGGTAGCTCAACTTATAAAGAATCTGCCTGCAATGCAGGAGACCCCTGTTCAATTCCTGGGTCAGGAAGATCCCCTGGAGAAAGGATAAGCTATCCACTCCAGTATTCGTGGGCTTCCCTGGTGGCTCAGATGGTAAAGAATCCGCCTGCAATGCAGGAGACCAGGGTTCCATCCCTAGGTTGGGGTGATCCCCTGGAGGAGGGCGTGGCAACCCTCTCCAGTTGTTGGTGGTGAGTATAGGAGCCTTTTTCCATTTCCATTCCATTAATCACTTGGAATTAATATTATGTATGGCTAGGATGTCAAACAGTATACTGCTAGCTAAATTATGATTTTTCCTATTTGTTTTTTCTATTTCTGGCTAATTGAACAGACTGCTTGTTTGCATGTGTGTGTGGTTGCTCAGTCATATCTCTTTGCAACCCTTTGGATTGTAGCCCACCAGGTTCCTCTGTCCATGGAATTCTTCCAGGAAAGAATACTGGAGTGGGTTGCTATTTCCTATTCCAGGGGATCTTTCTGAACCAGAGATTGAACCCGTCTCCTGCATTGGCAGGTGGATTCTTTACCACTGCGCCACCTGGGAAGCCTGAGTAGACTATGAGACTTGTGTTAATCCTAAGGATGTCAAGTTAGAGGTAGGACCCAGACTTTCTAGAATCCATCCTCTTTGTAGTTCGTTGTTAGCATTCACCAGTAGCTCACCTGTGTATGACTTAAAAGCAGATGTAAAAAAGACATTGTTCAGATATTAGAGCCTCCACCCTGGGAGACAGACAGTTACACAGGAGCTTCAAGGACAGCATCATCTAGCATATTTTCCAAACTCCGTGAACTTGTAGTGAAGAGTGTCATCACCACCAGCAACCAGTGTTTGATTTCCATTTTTATAGATGTATAGTTTCCCCCAGTGTCTTCATAGCTTCCACATCAAAGATCCAGCAGAGTTTGGATTTTTTTCTGTTAGGCTTCCTGTGTCCACAAGGAAAGTATTTCAGAGTTTTGTGGTTGGGAATATCCTGATTCCACTCTTCTCTGGATTATATCTTTGTTTCCTCTCCTACATGTCAGTTTGCTGCTTCTCTGATGCACTGTGCACTGCTGTCCTTGACCCATTGTTTCCATGTGAGAAGAATCACCTTCCTTCTGTCAGGAAGGCTGTGCCTGTTACTTGTAGCTGAATATAATCCTTCAATGTGTTTTTTTATTGTATTTTCTGTTATATGATTAAAACTTTGAATTTGTTGTGAAACAGAAGGTTTTGTCGTATCAAATGTTTTACCAATGTTCTGAACTGTTCATTAGCCAACAAGTTTGCTTTTCATGTCCTCAGAGAATATATTAAAGTACCCATTCAGAAAAACTGTGCATTATTCTTCATTAAATCACTTATACAGTCTTGTCAGTTTTATCCTGTGAGTAAGTGCAAAGTCAGCTACTTTATCTTTGGGCCATTTTCTTGCTTTTAGTTACAGTTTTTCTCATGAAACTAATTTCTTACTCTTTTTTTTTTTTTTTAAGTTTTATTTATTTTATTTTTGGCTGTGCTGGGTCTTTGTTGTTGCACCTGGGCTTTCTCTAGTTGCAGTGAGCTGGGGCTACTGTCTAGTTGTGGTGTGCGCACATCTCATTGTGGTGGTTTCTCTTGTGGAGCACAGGCTCTAGGGTGCGTGGGCTTCAGTATTTGTGACACACAGTTCCAGTTGCCCCGTGGCGTGTGGAATCCTACTCAACCAGGGACAGAACCTGTGTCCTCTGCATTGGCAGGCAGATTCCCAACCACTGGACCTCCAAGGCAGTCCCTCATTTCTTCTTATCTGCAGAAGTTAAAAGTTGCGGCAGCGCCATCTTGCCTGTGACCTCTAAGATCATAGCTGTAGTCAGATTCTAGGGTGAAGTAAATTCTATTAATAAATTCTATTAAGAGTAACATGGAAACTTACATTACCATATGTAAAACAGACAATGGGAATTGCTGTATGTCTTAGTAAACTCAGACAGGAGGTCTGTATCAACCTGGAGGAGTGGGGTTGGGAGATAGGTTCAAGAGGGTGGGGACATATGTATACCTATGGCTGATTCATGTTGAGGTTTGACAGAAAACAAAATTCTGTAAAGCAATTGTCCTTCAATTAAATGTTTTTAAAAAGTAGAATTACAGGGTAAAAAAAAAGTGATGATAGGACTTCTCTGGTGGCTCAGTGGTAATTCACCTACCAATACAGGAGATACGGGTTCAATCCCTGGTCAGGAAAAATCCCACTTGCCTTGGAGCAACTAAGGTCATGGGCCACAACTACTGAGCCCGAGTACCCTAGAGCCCTTGCTCAGCAATGAGATTTTTGGCTGTGCTGGGTCTTTGTTGTTGCACCTGGGCTTTCTCTAGTTGCAGTGAGCTGGGGCTACTGTCTAGTTGTGGTGTGCGCACATCTCATTGTGGTGGTTTCTCTTGTGGAGCACAGGCTCTAGGGTTCGTGGGCTTCAGTATTTGTGACACACAGTTCCAGTTGCCCCGTGGCGTGTGGAATCCTACTCAACCAGGGACAGAACCTGTGTCCTCTGCATTGGCAGGCAGATTCCCAACCACTGGACCACCAAGGCAGTCCCTCATTTCTTCTTATCTGCAGAAGTTAAAAGTTGTTGCAGCGCCATCTTGCCTGTGACCTCTAAGATCATAGCTGTAGTCAGATTCTAGGGTGAAGTAAATTCTATTAATAAGTTCTATTAAGAGTAACATGGAAACTTACATTACCATATGTAAAACAGACAATGGGAATTGCTGTATGTCTTAGTAAACTCAGACAGGAGGTCTGTATCAACCTGGAGGAGTGGGGTTGGGAGATAGGTTCAAGAGGGTGGGGACATATGTATACCTATGGCTGATTCATGTTGAGGTTTGACAGAAAACAAAATTCTGTAAAGCAATTGTCCTTCAATTAAATGTTTTTAAAAAGTAGAATTACAGGGTAAAAAAAAAGTGATGATAGGACTTCTCTGGTGGCTCAGTGGTAATTCACCTACCAATACAGGAGATACGGGTTCAATCCCTGGTCAGGAAAAATCCCACTTGCCTTGGAGCAACTAAGGTCATGGGCCACAACTACTGAGCCCGAGTACCCTAGAGCCCTTGCTCAGCAATGAGAGAAACCACTGCAAGGAGAGCCTGCATACCACAAGTAGCAGTTGCCCCTGCTCCCTGCAACTAGAAAAAAGTCTGTGCAGCAACAAAGACCCAGCACAGCCAGATATAAATAAATTATATTTTAAAAGATAAGTTAGAGGAAATGCAAAAAATCCTTAGAAGAAACAAACTCTGTTCAGTTGCTCAGTCATGTCCAATTCTTTGCAACCGCATGGACTGCAGCACGCCAGGCTTCCCTGTCCATCACCAACTCCTAGAGCTTCCTCATCAAACTCATTGTCCATCAAGTTGGTGATGCCATCCAACCATCTCATCCTCTGCTGTCCCCTTTTGCCTTCAATCTTTCCCAGCATCAGGGTCTTTCTAATGAGTCAGTTCTTCTCATGAGGTGGCTAAAGTATTGGAGTTTGAGCTTCAGCATCAGTCCTTTGAATGAATATTCAGGACTGATTTCCTGATTTCCTGGTTGGATCTTTCCTGGTTGGATCTTGCAGTCCAAGGGACTCTCAAGACTCTTCTCCAACACCACAGTTCAAAAATACCAATTATTTGGTGCTCAGCTTTCTTTATAGCCCAACTTTCACATCCATACATGACTACTGGAAAAACCGTAGCTTTGATTAGATGAAACTTTGTTGGCAAAGTAATCTCTGCTTTTTAATATTCTGTCTAGGTTGGTCGTAGCTTTTCTTCCAAGGAGCAAGCATGTTTTAATTTCATGGCTGCAGTCACCATCTGCAGTGATTTTGGAGCCCCCAAAAANCATCATTGACTTAATTGACATGAGTTTGAGCAAGCTCTGGGAGTTGGTGATGGACAGGGAAGACTGGCATGCTGCAGTCCATGGGGTCACAAAGAGTCA